CTCAAGGTTCCGTTTTAGGACCACTATTGTTTTCACCTCTTGGTGATGTCATTCGGAAACACAATGCTAACTTTCATTGCTATGCGGACGACACACAACTGTACATTTTGATGAAACATGGTGAAGCACCAAAATTGCCTACCCTGAAAGCCTGTGTTTCAGACATAAGGAAACGGATGGCAGTAAATGTTTTACTTTTAAACTCGGACAAAACAGAGATGCTAGTTCTAGGTCCCAAGAAACAAAGAGATCTTCTGTTGGATCTGACAATTAATCTTGATGGTTGTATAGTCTGATGTACTGACCTGTTTCTGCCTTTCTAGGGAGTTTTTAGAATTATATAAATGCTGACAAACAATTTATTCGTTCGACATGGTGGGATCTTTTTGTGTCGGTAAAAGTAATTCTGCCTGAAATTGTGGTGGAAACAGATTTTTGCGCAAATATTAATACAGTATCATAGGCCTACCTATCATATCGAAGTAAACTTGGAGTCACGCGATGATGTGTTGTTTGGTCCTCCCACTACGACTCGGGAAACGATGCAGTCAGTTTATTAGGCTACAGATGAAATAAGTTATGATGAACTTTACAGTGTGGTGAAAGTGCATGTGATGAGCTTGATGATCCTTTCCAATAACTATAGAGGGTCTTATTCTGGTGACATATTAATGGATATGACTGCCGTTTGACAAATAAAAATAGTATCACTCTTATCCATAATAATCTCATAGCCGAGTAGGATCTGCAAACTGTTTAGCAGTTGGCTAGAGCGCACGTGCCAAGACCAGAGTGGGCACATTTTCTATATAACGCAAAAGTTTTTGTGACAAAACCATCAGTAGAGTTGAAAATGCAATGGAAACACATTTAACTTGTATTTTTCATTCGGCACATGTTATTTTGATGTGCAGTATGTCACCACGCACTGACTTTTATCTGCAATAAGTCAGTTTGATGTCGCCAATTGGATGAAAACCTAGCTACAGAGAGAGAGACGCAGCAAGGAATATTTTAGGAGAATTGTTAGGCTATTTAATGTGTCATTTTAATAAAACTATATAGCAGCTAAATAGTCTATATAGATAATAGGCAACACTGCATAATGAAACGAACCCTAGTAAGCTTGTGTTTTGAGGGTGGACTGACTGTATTATTTGGCATTAATAGACTGGTTTTACGCACCACAACTTTCTATCCAAGCTGGGAGAGAGCGCGAGGACGACTCATGTCATGCAGGTTCAGGTAGCCTATACAGGACAGGAGTATATAAAAAAAAAAAAAAAACATATATATATATATATATATATATATATATATATATATATTGGTAGCTGATTAGTATGCTGTTGCATCGGAAATTAATTTTACAATCAACATTGTTTGAATTTCCAACATTAATTACTGAACAAGTGATTGCAGTATTGCTGCCAGCAAGCAGTCTAAATGTCAGCATTGCAACACCTTGTATAGCTTTGTGAAATGTTTCGTTTAACATGAGAAAATTATGACCGAATAGTTCTACCAATAAACATTTATCCATTAGCTAAAGCAAAAGTATAGGCTACATGCACTGGCACCACAGAACGCATATCATCTATGCAGACCCAAAGACATGCCACAATTTCAGCAACAAGGACAGCGATCAGCAGTCTATACTTTGTGAATGGCTGTCTGGCTGAGGAATTCCATTTGATTTGTATTATCATTTCGGGGGGCAAACTCCGATCTTGCGGTGGTCCAGAGAAACTGCGTTACACCAGTGTATATTGTATGTATTCTGTAGAACAAAAAGTTGGAGATCAGTTGGTTTCTCAAGTAAGGGTGGGCCAAAACATTCTTCCTCAGGAGACCATCTGTGACACGGTAATAATAGCATGACCTTCAGGACAGAAAGGAGCTCACACCCCTGAGAAATAGGACATTACTGATAAAAGAGTGTTACCTTTTCTCTGGGCTCAGGGCCAGGTTTCTGGGCTATTGCGCTCTGGTTTTTCATTGTTGTTCTTCATTGTTTGTAATCTTCTCATAATATCACTACAGGCCTACATGCAAAGCTCCAGTTTCTTCCTAAAACCCTGATTATTTTCTCTTATGTACGTACAGTCAATCCATAGCCGCAGGAAGTAGGGGTGCTTTAAACATTTTGAATTTAATATATATTTTTAAAGTGTGCACTAGGCCTTTATTACTCACGTTTGAGTGGAGATAAATACTCATCAGCAGAGCAAGGAGAAAAATACCCCCAACAGAAATGTTCCTCTCCTCCTCCTCCCTCTCCTCCTCCTCCTGTCCTGCTTCTCTCCAATCCTCCTCCTTCCTCCTCTCTTCCTCCTGTCCTCCTCTCTCCTCCTCCTTCCCCCACTCCTCCACTACCCTCCTCCTGTCCTCCTCCTCCTGTCCTACTCTCCTGCCTGTCTTTCTGCTTTCTCCCTCCCTCCTCCTGCTCCTTGTCCTCGAAGTTGACTTTGCTTCTTTTTTCAATAAGTGTCACATTGCATGCATCAATAACTTCAGACAGTGGTATGCAAGTGCTTTGAAATGTGTTTGTCCCATGTATGTGAGACCTTAGAAGGCTTAGCTTACATGCGTCTTGAATATTTTTTATATAATACATGCAACATTTCTGTTATGTCTAAATGTTAACCACCCATATATGTCAGTGTATTTGCTGCCATATGTATTACTTACAATATTCCAGGTAGAACATATTAGAATCTTGTTAAATTCTTCTCTATCTTTTCCATATGGGGAATGGACTGGCAACACAGATCGTATTAACAGAACCTGTATACTACCACCGCAAGGTCATTAAGGTGCCAAAGCTCAACAGGAGAAATCATATCACTTGGGTAAATGACCCCTCTCTCTTTCCATGGTCTAAGCATTTTACAATTATGACATAAGTTTGTCATTAGAGCCCATAGAGGATTCTGACGTCTCTTCCCTTTCCTGCTCCTTCTCTCTATCCCTCCCTCTCTCTCTGTCGGTCTCAGAGGAGCCGATGATCGAGCACCTGGACCTGGTCCATCACATGGTGGTCTATGGCTGCCCCTTGTCTGTAAACCAGACCTATGAGCAGAAATGCCAAATAATACATCAGTGGTGTCTGCCTGTGGTGTAGGAGTGGTGAGAGACTGCCCCCTTCTGGAGACATTAATACATACACACATGCGTGCATGAATGAACACCCACACACACATTTGTCTGCATTCTGTCTATTCATCATCGATTCGTCTTCCCAGGCTTCCAGAAAACACAGGCATCCCTATTGGAGGACAGGATGATGATCAGTTCTACAAGCTGGAAATTCACTACAACAACACGGCCCAGGAAGCAGATAACATTTGACTAGCTACTAGCTAGTATAGCAATTTCCCAAACAACTGATAAAGGATCAACAAGCTTACCATGCTCCAATCTTGATTATTAGGTGAACCAAGTGTGCTAGTGTGACATGCAAAATGTGTGTAGGTATGTATTATGTGTATACTGAGGGAGGAGTTTTTGTTGTGTGCTTCCTCTCTTGGCTGTTTCCTTTTTCTCTCCCTTTCTCTCTCGCTCTGGCACCCCTCCCCGCATATCGGCTGTCCTGCTACAGGCAATCAGGACCAGAGATAGTGGAATATAGGACACAACCGGCATAAGCTGTGGATTTGGAAACTAGAGGTGTAATATGTATGTTCAATATACATAACAGAGTCTGAATCTGACTGATTTTCCACAGATAAATGACCATAAAATTAGCAGCAACTATAAACCAGAGGGGGTTGGTGGGAGGAGCTATTTGAGGACAGGTTCATTGCAATGGCTGGAATGGAATTAATGGAATGGTACCAAACACATCAAACACATGGAAACAACGTGTTTGACTCCATTCCATTAATTCCATTCCAGCCATTACAATGATCCCTTCCTCCTATAGCACCAGCCTCCTCTGGTGTAAACTCTGTGGATTTGGAAACTACAGGTGCTCCTGAGTAGAATGGGCCCCTTTTACTGTGACAAAATGTACAGGAAATTGTGTACAGTGCAATATGAATGACAGGACATTGTGTACAGTGTAATACAAATGGGCTAAATAACAATGGGATTTAAATGTGTTTTCTAAAGTGATTATATTATAATGATATGATTATTGTTATTACTATTATGAATAGTAGCAATATAAATAATGTTGTGTTATTTGTATTACTGTTGTTACTATAATAACTATCTAGTAATGCTAGTGATGCTGTTAAAAATATTGTCAATGCTATAATATAATTTGTCCTATTAAGGTTATTAACAATTTTTTCAATGATATAGCTTAACAAAATTCGAAGTCTGCTAACATTTCGGCCATTTATGTTATTTTTTTAATAATCTTCATTGCAGGACTTTTATTTTGAACGGAAATTGCCGAGGTCACCGCCTTCTTACTAGTTTTTGCTTCATAACCAAGTGGAAATGTGTTATTTACAGTACGTTCAAGACAAGTCGGAAAATATGAGGTCAAATTATGACGTCAGTGATCTTCAAGTCAGAGCTCTAGAAAGAGACCCGAGTTCCCGAGTTGGATGACCATTCAAAGCGATTCTTCCCAGTCGGAGCTCGTTTTATTCTGAGTTCCCAGTTGTTTTGTACACACTGAAGTCGGAAGTCGGAGATTTCCGAGTTCGCAGTTCCCAGTTGTTTTCAACGTGGCAGTTTGCTGCCTTCGATAACAGCATTTTCGGCAGTTAAATGCAACAACAAAACGTTATAAAAAGCAATATATTAATAGCCTATGGTTTTAAAACACTCTAATTTGTTTACAAGCATGATAGCTGTACTTTTAGTTTATGGTTTACTCAGCTTGTTGGCCATTAGCCAATCGGTATTTCTCTACGAGTTCAAAGCACGGGAATCCATCCAACTGGTATTTACGGCTTCACAACTGGTAAATTCCCACCTCCCACTTGGTTACGAACGCACACGTGACTTCTTTCTAGACAGGAAGTGTGACATTATTTGCATTCCGAAAAGAATGGTAGGGGTTCCAGTTCATGATTCTTAAATACTTTCAAAAAATGCTACTTTTGTGTGTACCGAGAGATGAACATAGTTTAATGGTCGTTCATACATAAAGTAGAAGTAATCTTGGCTGGTAAACGTTGGTATTCCGCATTTTCTCTTTGGTGAAGTGTGGAAAGGTATACCGGAAGTCATGTAATGTTTGGAAAGTGACCGATCATCCAAATGAAAGATACATTATAGAGGTAAGTCAACGAAATACGTATTATATAGCCCTGTAGTGGCTAAATAAGATCGGTATATGGTGTAATTACAACCATTTGTATTAGTACAGTTGCAGGTCGCTTAATATAACTTGTTTTCGATGTGGCACATCGGCAAAGCACAGCCAGATAGTCCAGTTTTGGTCCAATTTTCTCGTGGTTGGTCTCTCAAAACAGTAATAGGAGTTTGCGCCGTTCTTACAATGTTCTCTTCCTAAATTAATTATGTTGTTTAAATATACTGCACTTGTCACACATTAGTCAGTCCCCATGTAATTTAGTTGTCTTTTCATAAATAGGCCTGCTGCTGTCATGTTTCCCCGCTATCTAAATAACCCTCAAATTCTATCCAGGGGGCCCATGGCAATGCATTTCAACAATTAAATGATACAATTTCAATGAGAGGCAGTCAATTGATTGTTTGTAAATAGTATGCTCAGTTCTTCTGTTTTATGTCTTTTTTCTAGTTGTTTTGATGGTCATAATTCCCTGGGTCACCTGAAGACTGCTCTTAAAAGCATGGAAATGTTGTCCAGTCACAGTGCTTACCTTCTCCAGCAGTTACAGGAGCAGAGGATACAGGGGCTACTCTGTGACTGCATGCTAGTAGTCAAAGGAGTATGCTTCAAAGCCCACAAAAATGTACTGGCTGCATTTAGCTCCTATTTCAGGTGTGTCATTAATAATAACCATCCACAAGTCATGTAGTGAATATATTCATGAATATTGCCATACTAGATGAATACCTTGATTCTTAGGATTTTGTTTTCCCCTTTCTACTACTGCTATTAAACGAAACAGACATGAAATGGGGATTCAACTGACGCATGCTTTGTGTTCTCATATTATACCTTGGTAGATCTCCACATGTAGAGCTCCACTTGTCTAAATCAGCAATGTGTCGACATTGTAAAATAACCTTTTTACTTTTGTCACTGCAGGTCTTTGTTCCAAAATTCACCAAGTCAGAAAAATGACGTTTTTCAACTGGTCATTCAGGATGTGGGAGGTATAGGCCAGATACTGGACTACATGTACACCTCCCATCTGGACGTCAACCAAGACAATGTACAAGCTCTGTTGGACATCGCCCAGTGCTTGCAGGTCCCAAACGTACAGAGCATGTGCAACACTTTCCTGAAACCCTGCGCTCCTGCCGTGGAGGCCCCTTCTTTCCCATTGTCTGGTGTCCTGACCTCGGAACACGACTACCTCCTCGGGAATGGCCTTGCCCAAGACGTGGACCTTCATTGCCCTTCTTCGGTAGGCCAGAGGGCTGCCTTTGGCAGTGGGGCACCAATGTCTCATGGTGGGAACGCTACCTCTGAGACTACAGCCAGTACCCAGCCAGTCCCAGAGAAGCAGCTAGTACACGGCTACAAGCTACGCAACTTCTACAGCAAGCAATACTTCAAGCAGAGTGCTGCTGCTGAGACTAGCAATGCAGCGTTAAACCAAGGCCCAAGCCCCCTGGTGCTGGTTGAAGAGCAGCAGTTCCAATTTGGGGTCACACAACAATGCGCGAATGCCCCTGTATATTCAGGCAATGCGGTTCAGTCAAACCCACCCTGTCCTCAGACTATGCCAGTTGAGAAGGAGTTTGGTTCAACGTTGCCTGCTGAAGACTTATCAACCACAGCCAACTCAGGTGGAAAGGTCTCCCCTGTCAACAAGCCCATGCGGCCAAAGAAGGCTGTCTACCTGAAGAAATACAACTACCTGCGCCCTCAGAAGGCTCTAGAAGAGATGTGCCTTGAGCAGAGCAGCGGACCAGTCAACCACTGCCCAAAGGAGACTCACCAAGAGGAGGTAGTGGTCCAGAGTGAGACACCTGAAGCTCCCGTAGACTGCCTACCTCCCGTAGACTGCCTGGCCAGAGACAGTGAAGTGGTGTTGGAGACCACGATGGATTCTCAACTTCCAAGTCCCCCACCTGTTGAGCAAGAGGAGGAACCTGACCCACCAACCATCAGTGATCCAACAGAACCAACTGGGCATAAGGTGCAGTACTGCTGTGAGATGTGCGGGAAGACCTTCAAACACCCAAGCAACCTGGAACTTCACAAGCGCTCACACACTGGTAGTTTGTTAATTTCACTATTGTGTCATTACTGATTTTTGGAGCTGTAAAATGTGTGGAAAAATGCAAAAATAAATGTTATATGCTGACTTTTTGTAAGGTGATACAATTGTTTTGGTTTTTGTTCTCACAGGGGAGAAACCATTCCAGTGTAATGTTTGCAGGAAAAACTTTTCACAGGTAAGGGTGCACAGTTGTCCTTTGTTTAATGAATTTATGTTTAGTGTGTCCACTAGGCAAATAGGGAGGTTTACATGAATGCTGCTGACTGACCTTTTTGCTGATATATCTTTCAATAGGCAGGTAATTTGCAGACCCATTTACGACGCCATTCTGGAGAAAAACCATACATCTGTGAACTCTGTGGGAAAAGGTAAACACTTATTTAGATTTTTAAAAAATCGGTTTAGAAAAGTTTACCATATTGAGTGATCTGTCACCATACTTACTGCTGGAATGGACAGCTATAAATCTGTGGTCTCCAACTCTGGTCCTGGTGAGTTACTGGGTGGGCAGGCTTTTGTTCTAGCCCAGCAGTTGGAGAACCTTGCTCTAGATAGCACTGTGGAGGGCACTACAAATACATAACACATTTACAAACAATGCATTAGACCTAAGCAGTAACAGAACAATCATGAATGTGCATGTGCCACAACAGTCTAGATAACAATGGATGTGAGTCATGACATGGACTTAGCCATCTAATATGGTGTGTTTTGTGTTATGCTGACAACTTCTCCATCCCTCACTGTGGCATCTCCCAGCTTTGCTGCCTCAGGGGATGTCCAGCGTCACATTGTGATCCACACGGGAGAGCGGCCACACCTGTGTGACATATGTGGACGTGGTGAGTGCTACAACCAACAAATTACTTATCCCAGTATGGATTCCTGGCACACTATACACATCTATTCTCAGATGTTATAGTGTGCGTTTTAAAGTGGACAGTATATCATGTTTGAGAAATCAAACATCAATTAATAATTGTAACATTTTACAACAAGGCCTGCTATATATAAGCATTTAAAAATGTAAAGAAACAACTATTAAACATGTTTATAATAGTGATGGGAAGTTTGGCTAATTTTGCTGACTAATCTTTTCGACTCGTTCAGTCAAAAGAAGAAATCTTTTGACTAATTTTGTTCATTTGTGTTAATAATGGCCAGAGCACGCTGGACCCCCTACTGGCGAACGATGAACTGAAAACTCAAAGGAGTCATGATTCTACAAGCCTGTCTTGTTCACATGTCGTTCACCATAGGGGGCTTAGTATAATTTGTGACTGAGACTTATAAACGTGCTTTAAACAATGTACATTTGTTGATTGCTAGGCATACAAATAAGATTATTTCTTGATATATTTGAAACAAAGTCTAGTTGTGGCCACAACCAGACTAGATTGTGAACGACTCTTGGCGGAATTGATAAGCACAATGTCATTCGGAAACTGCAGCCCCCAAACAAATTTTTTTCTCGAGTTCAAATTTGTTGACCAGAGGCTGTGTATGTTTTGGTTCTACAAAGCTGTGTCCATCATAACATTCAATAATAAATTAATTGCATTCATTCTTGCATCATGCAATCTATTATCAGTTCTAAACATGTATTTTTCTTCTCTATGCTCATGATCTATTTTCCTGCATGCATATTTGACAGACAGTTGGTGGTCGGAGCACGTCTCTGGAGCCGCTGAGCGGGAGGAGCATGTATTAATCCTGCTGTAAGACTCATTGCGGCCAACACTAGCAGGTCAAACAAACGACTAAAATAAACGAGTCACTCAGAAAAAAACGAATCATGACTCTTGAGTCAGTAAAAAGAGTCGTTCAAAAAGAATGAATAGTTTGCGAACTGCACCTCACTAGTTTTATAAACATGCATTTATTATGGATTATTCATGTCTATCTATCTATCTACAGTGCCTTGCAAAAGTATTCATCCCCCTTGGCGTTTTCCTATTTTGTTGCATTAAAACCTGTAATTTAAATGGATTTTTATTTGGATTTCATGTAATGGACATACACAAAATAGTCCAAATTGGTGAAGTGAAATGAAAAAAATTCGAAAAAATAAATAACAGAAAAATGGTGCATGCATATGTATTCACCCCCTTTGCTATGAAGATCCTAAATAAGATCTGGTGCAACCAATTTACCTTCAGAAGTCACATAATTAGTTAGATTGCACACAGGTGGACTTTATTTAAGTCACATGATCTGTCACATGATCTCAGTATATATACACCTGTTCTGAAAGGCCCCAGAGTCTGCAACACCACTAAGCAAGCGGCACCACCAAGCAAACGGCACCATGAAGACCAAAGAGCTCTCCAAACAGGTCAGGGACAAAGTTGTGGAGAAGTACAGATCAGGGTTGGGTTATAAAAAAATATCAAAAACTTTGAACATCCCACGGAGCACCATTAAATCCATTATTAAAAAATGGAAAGAATATGGCACCACAACAAACCTGCCAAGAGAGGGCCCCCATCCAAAACTCACAGACCAGGCAAGGAGGGCATTAATCAGATAGGCAACAAAGAGACCAAAGATAACCCTGAAGGAGCTGCAAAGCTCCACAGCGGAGATTGGAGTATCTGTCCATAGGACCGCTTTAAGCCGTGCACTCCACAGAGCTGGGCTTTATGGAAGAGTGGCCAGAAAAAAAGCCATTGCTTAAAGAAAGAAATAAGCAAACACGTTTGGTGTTTGCCAAAAGGCATGTGGGAGACTCCCCAAACATATGGAGAAGGTACTCTGGTCAGATGAGACTAAAATTGAGCTTTTTGGCCATCAAGGAAAACACAATGTCTGGCGCACACCCAACACCTCTCATCACCCTGAGAACACCATCCCCACAGTGAAGCATGGTGGTGGCAGCATCATGCTGTGGGGATGTTTTTCATCGACTAGGAAACTGGTCAGAATTGAAGGAATGATGGATGGCGCTAAATACAGGGAAATTCTTGAGAGAAACCTGTTTCAGTTCTCGAGAGATTTGAGACTGGGACGGAGGTTCACCTTCCAGCAGGACAATGACCCTAAGCATACTGCTAAAGCAACACTCGAGTGGTTTCAGGGGAAATGTCTTGGAATGGCCTAGCTTATAGATAGACATACCCCAAGAGACTTGCAGCTGTAATTGCTGCAAAAGGTGGCTCTACAAAGTATTGACTTTAGGGGGGGTGAATAGCTATGCACGCTCAAGTTTTCTTTTTTTGGTCTTATTTCTTGTTTGTTTCACAAGAAAAAATATTTTGCATCTTCAAAGTGGTAGGCATGTTATGTAAATCAAATTATACAAACCCCAAAAAATCAATTTTAATTGCAGGTTGTAAGGCAACAAAATAGGAAAAATGCCAATAGGGGTGAATACTTTCGCAAGCCACTGTATCTATCCTATCTATCTATCTATTATTAAGTGTTACCAAGTCCTCATTGAATGCATATTCTATCCTTCCTTACTCAGGGTTCAGCAACATCAGCAACCTGAAGGAGCACAAGAAGACTCACACCACAGACAGAGAGTTCACCTGTGACCAGTGTGGCAAGTCCTTCAACATGCACAGGAAGCTGCTGAAGCACAAGATCAGACACTCCGGGGAGAAACCACACACCTGCCAGACCTGTGGTGCGTATCAACCTGTATCTATGATTATGGTGTCCAAATTAGGACAGCCTCTGAGGGGACAGACTCTGAGGCTGTCCTAATATGGATACTGTATTTTATAGATACAGACATGAAGACCACAAGAACAGTTTTGGAGGAAAAAAAAGTCAGTATCTCTGAATGTATTTTTCCAAATTCAGGCAACAGTATCTTTTTCTGCATGAAGGCAGTTGTTGAGAGCACAATGTCAATGCCTGGTTGATTGTACATGTGTTGGTTGGGTACATATCATGATAACTCATATCTAACCGTACCGCAGGGAAGAGCTTTGCCGGGTCGGGCGACCTGCGTCGCCACGTGAGAACGCACACGGGGGAGAGACCCTACCTCTGCAACACCTGCGGCAAGAGCTTCACCCGCTCGGCTGTCCTGAGGAGACACTGCAGCATGCACTGCAAGGCCACGCCCGATGACGCCAGCCCTGACGTAGAGGACCCAGAGCAGCCTGGCAGTAGCAGCACTGACAGAGGAGGAGGAGGCACATTCCACAAGCCTGTCAGCCACAGTAAAGCCCCTGTGCCCAGGCAGCCACCACCACCCTCCACTAACGTGATGGAGCTCGAAAAGCCTTCGCCCCCACCAGCACATCCAGAAGCTCCGTCGACTAGCATCCACCTCAGCCCATCTACCTCAACGTCCTTCCCCGAGTTACGCTCCATCGTGCCCCAGCACCTCCTCCCCTCCACCCCCTCCCAGCAGCAGGAGAAGTGCCCTCCTCTAGCAGACTCCCTGAAACTGGGCAAAGCTCACCTACCTCAGGAGGCCCTTGTGTTTGGCCCCTATGTGGAGAACGGGCAGGTGGGTGTGGAGATACAACAGCAGGGGTCTGGGGCCTCGGTGGTGGCCCGGCCGTACCTCTCGGCCCCAGACAGTTACTGTGGGGCCCTCCCAGGGGCTAGCCGCCCCAGCGGTACCCCCTACAGGGCAAGCGAGGGACCCTTCTTTTCCAGTGTAACACTATGGGGGCTGGCCATGAAAACACTGCAGAATGACAATGACCTGGAGCAGTGAAAGCTGCAGCAAGTAGAGTGTGTCTAATGTGGCTTCCTTTCCTCGTCTCATCTCCTTTGTCAGCACTGATTTGAAGACACTGTTGTAGGGCAAAACCACATGACGATACCTACTGGTGATCATCTTTCATCTGTTCAGTTATTTCACATCATTGTAGATGAAGGGAAGGGGATGAGGAAAGGAGGTAACTTTAGTCTATTCAGAACTGGCTATAGAGTTCCCTTATGAAGGAAGACAGCTGAGCACTATGATATTATCTAACTTCAATTAATACAATATAACTCAGGTATTTCCTTTATAGGATATATTGTTTTTAGAACAATTTGTTATAAAGATGGCAAATGTATATTCTTTATGGATAATTATGCACTATGTTATGAAATAAAAGATGCCAAATATATTGTTTTGTTTGTTTTTAAATATATTGTAGGATATTGTATTTTCATGCAGTAATGCTACAATGGTGTATTGCGTATGCCTGCTCGGTCAAACACACAACATAGAGGAAATGTATTTCTGGTTCATTATGGCTTCAATAAATGTCTCCTTTAGTGGCTCCACTGGCTACTGTATCTCTTCAGAACAGGAATTTAGTCTGCATTTTGAGTTCTCTGACCTCCTCATGACACCTCCTCCATGAAGATAACATTAGGCATGAACATGAAGTCATGAGAATGATCACAACTAAGGTCTATGGATTGAGAATAGGCACAGACAATGTTGCAGTGCAGAGAAGATATCAAAAAGTCTGAGCGCAGTATTGCTATAATTTACTATAAATTCACAATTGAACTTTTCAGGGTAAAGTGGAACGGGAACAATAGCAAACTGTCTATCAGAAGGCCTTCGCAGCCACGGCCCTACAACAGGTTCACCGAATCTATGTGAGCTGGGCACGGCGCTGTCCAACGGCCATGGAGCTGAAATTGGAGATCAGCCCTCCACTTCGCGTTGATCGCGGTACTGTTGTTAGTGCGCCAGTATTATGACACAATAAGGACTAATCGTAATCACATCATAGCATGTCATGATACATTTCTCAAACTAATCACAACTATTAACTTTTGGGCTGAAGAATTATAGCTAATTGTAACTAAATATGATGATAAACTTGCTTATTTCAATAACATAACTCTAACAGGAGTCATTTCTGAATAATTCCAAATATTGTGTAATAGACTAACCCTAAAAAAGTCACAATAGGGAAAAACAGCAAGCCGAGAAGGGGAGCACAAATCACCAAAAAAAATGCAGTTTCCAGCTCAATAATAATTTGAAAATAAAAATAATGTCTTAAATTTTTTTAAAATAGGCTTTCAAAGTTTAAATGTAACACCATTTTCTTGCCCTGGACCTGCTCCCAAGTTGTCATGTCTTGCGCCTACATCACTTACGCTACCAGCAGCAGCATCCATAGCTCGGAGGGACCGCCTTTGAGTAGCATTAACGATAGCTTGGCCATATTGTGCATCCAGTTTGTTGTAAATCGTCTGCGTCACACCTACACCGGCTTTCTCAGTTAAAGCAATAAAATAGGACAACAAAATCAACACGGACTACAAGTAAAAACGTTAACAGGTAAGTGCTGATGTATTAGTTAATAGCATAAACAGGGTTATGATTCTTATCATTAAAATTATGCTTATTGCAACCGTAACATTCATAGGATACAATGGATGTTATTCTCGAGCGCTCCTTCGTGTATTTTTATAATGAAATTAACAAAAAAGGATACACCTTGCATACAGTATATTTTATCAATTGCAATGTGTTTGATATGCAGCTGTGTTTTTGCTTCATCTCAGGAGTGATTGGCTACATAAAAATAAAATGAAAACAATCACATGCCATTCAATTTTGACGACGCATACATGTATTTCTCAGACAATCACTTGTCCCTCTCTCCGAACAGGTTATACATTTACAGCCTTTCGTCTGGGAAAATGGTTAAATTGGGGAATAATTTCAGTGACAAAAACAACGCCAAAGCCGTCTCAGAAGATGGATTCGACACCATTCCCCTCATAACACCCTTAGATGCCAGTCAACTGCAGTTCCCAGCACTCGACAAGGTAAGATTTATTCAAGTGAATTGAAAGCCTATTGATGCAATAGATATGCTGTACCCATCGTCAATGTTTTCAAGGATTCCGTTTTCTTTATAGTCTGAAGTAATATGAATGTGGTCAAATAAGGACCCAATGGAAATAAAAGTGTCTCAAGATAACATCTATAAACCTATTCTCCATTACACACATGAAGGAAATAGCCTACAATTTATTCCACATGATTGCATACAACACCTTCATGCAGGCCTATGAGCTTCATTGTTTATACATCTTGGTATTTTCCCATGTGTTTCAGGTTGTGGTAAAGACCAAAACAGACTATGATGGGGAACACAAGAAGAGCAGGCTGCGGTCCCCAAAAATAGCAGAATTCTCAATAAGCATCATTGAAGGGGTATCTGAAAGACTCAAAGTAAGACATGTTCCATTCTTCTTCTTCACCCAAGCACCTCAACCCCTTGATTATTTCAACTGCTGCCATGGCAATGGCCTTGTAATGGTTTTGTCACACTCAGTACACTCAGGCATCCCAATTCTGATAATTTTTCACTAATTGGTCTTTTGACCAGTCAGATCAGCTCTGAAAAAGAGCTGATGTGAAAAGATCTGATGTGATTGGTCAAAAGACCAATTAGTAGTGGGGGGGGAATCCGAATTGGGCTGCCTGTCTAAACACAACCGTAGAGGTCTTTGAGAAGCAAATAGTTCGATTGTTACAGATCATCATCTTAAAAAGCCATATCTGCTCTGATGTGCAAGCTATAAAGGTGTGGGCCGTCAACAGCAATGGACATCCCATAGCACTTGATTTATATCTCTGTAGTGCTCAAGTGCTCTTCGTGGTATTTCCCAGTTTAATAAGGCGTAATCTGTTATCAGATGTAAGACATGTACAGTGGGGGAAAAAAAGTATTTAGTCAGCCACCAATTGTGCAAGTTCTCCCACTTAAAAAGATGAGAGAGGCCTGTAATTTTCATCATAGGTACACGTCAACTATGACAGACAAAATGAGAAAAAAAATTCCAGAAAATCACATTGTAGGATTTCTAATGAATTTATTTGCAAATTAAGGTGGAAAATAAGTATTTGGTCATTAACAAAAGTTTCTCAATAGTTTGTTATATACCCTTTGTTGGCAATGACACAGGTCAAACGTTTTCTGTAAGTCTTCACAAGGTTTTCACACACTGTTGCTGGTATTTTGGCCCATTCCTCCATGCAGATCTCCTCTAGAGCAGTGATGTTTTGGGGCTGTCGCTGGGCAACACAGACTTTCAACTCCCTCCAAAGATTTTCTATGGGGTTGAGATCTGGAGACTGGCTAGGCCACTCCAGGACCTTGAAATGCTTCTTACGAAGCCACTCCTTCGTTTGTTTGGGATCATTGTCATGCTGAAAGACCCAGCCACGTTTCATCTTCAATGCCCTTGCTGATGGAAGGAGGTTTTCACTCAAAATCTCACGATACATGGCCCCATTCATTCTTTCCTTTACACGGATCAGTCGTCCTGGTCCCTTTGTAGAAAAACAGCCCCAAAGCATGATGTTTCCACCCCCAGGCTTCACAGTAGGTATGGTGTTCTTTGGATGCAACTCAGCATTCTTTGTCCTCCAAACACGACGAGTTGAGTTTTTACCAAAAAGTTATATTTTGGTTTCATCTGACCATATGACATTCTCCCAATCCTCTTCTGGATCATCCAAATGCACTCTAGCAAACTTCAGACGGGCCTGGACATGTACTGGCTTAAGCAGGGGGACACGTCTGGCACTGCAGGATTTGAGTCCCTGGCGGCGTAGTGTGTTACTGATGGTAGGCTTTGTTACTTTGGTCCCAGCTCTCTGCAGGTCATTCACTAGGTCCCCCTGTGTGGTTCTGGGATTGTTGCTCACTGTTCTTGTGATCATTTTGACCCCACGGAGTGAGATCTTGCGTGGAGCCCCAGATCGAGGGAGATTATCAGTGGTCTTGTATGTCTTCGATTTCCTAATAATTGCTCCCACAGTTGATTTCTTCAAACCAAGCTGCTTACCTATTGCAGATTCAGTCTTCCCAGCCTGGTGCAGGTCTACAATTTTGTTTCTGGTGTCCTTTGACAGCTCTTTGGTCTTGGCCATAGTGGAGTTTGGAGTGTGACTGTTTGAGGTTGTGGACAGGTGTCTTTTTTACTGATAACAAGTTCAAACAGGTGCCATTAATACAGGTAACGCGTGGAGGACAGAGGAGCCTCTTAAAGAAGAAGTTACAGGTCTGTGAGAGCCAGAAATCTTGCTTGTTTGTAGGTGACCAAATACTTATTTTCCACCATAATTTGCAAATAAATTCATAAAAAATCCTACAATGTGATTTTCTGGATTTTTTTTTCTCAATTTGTCTGTCATAGTTGACGTGTACCTATGATGACAATTACAGGCCTCTCTCATCTTCTTAAGTGGGAGAACTTGCACAATTGGTGGCTGACTAAATACTTGTTTTCCCCACTGTACTTTGCTGTAGGCAATATGCACACTGTAGATGAGTTCTTCTCTGGCACCAAGTCTGGTTTTGCATAGCAGCCCATGATATACATTTTTTAAATGATTTTTGCAAGATGTTTCTAACTCAGAGAAATGTGACATCTATATCCAGGAAACCAGAAGAACTCTTATTTAACCTCAATCAAATAAAATTAATGATATAATTTACTATGTTTTGTCCCCCGACCAAGACAAGATCAGGTTCTATATTCATAAAGTGTCTGAGAGTAGGAGAGCTGATCTAGGACCAGTTTTGCCTTTGATTATAATGATCCTAGATCAGCACTGCTACTCGGAGACGCTTAATGAATACGGTCCTGGCCTCATCACTGAGTGATTTCTCCAACACCTCTCTCCCACTCCCTGCCTCCTCAGTTCCTCAAAGCGCCAGTAGTCATTGCGTAACACCCTAGCGATGTCAGTGCAATGTTCTTGTGCAGACTTTTTTAAAGACGTTATGTGTCTCACTCTGTTCAGTTTAATATCCAATTCATATTCCCTAATCAACCCCTCAGACATGTCTTGATGAGCTCTCGTAGATCTGAACAATAGAATAGGTGCAATAAGCAATATGGTAATAACTCCACCTAGCCTTCTGGCCCTGTTGTCATAAAGCGCCACAGAGTAGTATCTAGGGGCTAGGGACCTTCAGTAACCCAGAGTTGATGTTTGTGTCTCATCTTCCCAGGTCACTCTGCTGGTGATTTGTGCTTTGGCGTTTCTGGTTTGCGTGGTGTTTCTGGTGGTCTATAAAGTCTACCAGTATGAGCAGCCCTGTCCAGAGGGCTTCATGTACACGGTAAGCAACTAAGCATGCCTCTTTTTTTCTTAAGCATTCAATGTACCAATAAAGACCGACATCTTTCTAAGAAATCCGCTAGTCATGTCATTGGCAGCATACAATTGCACCTGCAAGATATAACTTGCTGTGGTAAATCAATTATCTTTTCTCTCTCTATTATTGGCAACTTGATGTTTGGTAATTTTGGTAATGACAACCAGACAGGTTTTCACAGGCACTTCCTAGACTCTCCAAGTCTTGCTTCTCTTGTCCACATTTCTATAGTTATTCCCTTTGTTCCTCTGTTAAATCTCTCTCTCTTTCCCTCTCTTGCAGCAAGGTCGGTGCATGCCGACGGGGATGTACGGCTACTACCCCCCTGGCGGGCGCGGGCGTCTCTTCACCATCATCAACCATTACAACATGGCCAAGCAGACCATCACCCGGTCCGTGTCCCCATGGATGACCATCATGTCAGAGGAGAAGGTCACCCAGCAGGAGACCGAGACCCACCAGAAGCTGGCCTAACGCACTGGGCTGTATTCAGAGGTGAAACGTTAAGAATGTTACAAATAGAAATACAATAAATAGAGCTGACCTGATGCCCAATTGTACATGAGCGATACTCATATCTGTTCTACAAAATGTATCTCTATCTGAGCGTTTTGTAACGTTGCACCCTTCTGAACAGACCCTAGGATCACCATCCAGCCATGTGAAAATGGGATACACAGTGCCGTTCAAGCAAACCCGAAATCTGGAAAAACTTTCTTTAGCTAAAATGGTTGATCTTGAGGTGCGCCAGTTTTAACTGATATGATATAACTGCAATGTATCAGGCATAATGTATTGTTTTAATCAGTTAAATTATTTTACAAATACATTTGTGTAAGCACAGACAGGAACTTGTTGGATGGATATCTGGTTTGTTTGAATAGCGTCCGCGGTTATTTCTTTACATTTTCGAGTGGCGAACAGATACACAAACAAGTCTTGCCACACAGACACACACTTGTTGACAAAACATCTTTGTACATAAACGGGAATAAAATCTCACTTCAGTACCCCAAATATAAACAGACTTTGAACCGTTCTAGTGTCTGCGGAGCTGGTTTAAACACACATGCACGGTTAACTTTGTAAGGCTTCTGCATTTCACACAACCAAACGTCTTTATTACTAAAAAACATTTGAATTATTGTCAGAGCATGTACCATTTAACCCTTGAGATCCAGCTAAAATGACTGATAATAAATTACTTTTTACCTCTCCCATTTGTGGATGAATCGGTGTGTGACTCACTTGAATGTGCATTTTGATAATCTAAAATCTTAATGAATATAATCCACAAGTCATGTCTTATTGAAGTCAAATTACTTTAATCGACTCCTCCATTGTGTAGAGGACCTTTTTAATTCTGTCTCTTGTTCAATAGGAAAAAAGGGCGGTACTACCTAAACTAGTCCAATAAGAAATTCCCAATTTTGTTTTCCATTTCAAAACACTTTGCTACGCTGTGACCTACTGAATACGACCCCGGTATAATGCTCACTATATTTGGCCTGTGTAATTGAACCCTCTGTAGTTTATCCATCTCCACATGCAGAACTTAGAGCTCGTATTTATTGTGAACTACATTATATTTGATCAGGCACTACGTCAAGGTCTTCTTAAAGCATGGGAATGCTTATTGTCACTGCATAGCATATCCTATGTTTTCTTCTCGTTGATATTTAATGTATTTTTTTTGCATTGCTATTGAATGTAATGTGTAATGCTATATGAATGGGATTCTGTAGCTGTCAGTCATCCTAGAACGCAGTCAAGTCATACAGAGTGATGTGTAGTAGAACTCACGAACTCTAAAAATGAAACCTCTGAAAGGAGTGATTGCTCCATTGCTATTTCTTCTTCAACATATCTGTCATTTAAGAGTAATGCCTTCTGTTCTCACAGATTTTTTTATACAATGACGTAAACAGAAGTACATTTGATGCTGTTTTTATTGGGACAAATGAGGAATAGGCTTTGAGCTGGAAACCAATGTAAACAAATATCTATTAAAATGCACACATTTCACAAACGTTTGAGTAATCCATCATATCTAAACGAGATGAAGATCATTCATGTATTTATGAGCATGGTGTAATAATGCTTAATCTTGTATCAGTGGTGCTCAATTCAATTCATTAGTGTTCAATTCCCTTAATGTAAAGGAAATCATGGCTTTTAACAGTATTTTCCCCAGGGCCTTGATCAAAGTGAGATATTTAAGTTATATAATCCTTTTACTGGGATATAGGTTAATCCAAATGAACAGATTTTCAGAAGCATAAATCTGATAATTAAGCTCTAAAGCTCATTGTTCCAAAGCCCATTTTCAGTGATTTTACCCACGCACCGCTACTGGTGTCAATCCCTCCAATAGAGTTCCAGACACTTGTAGAATCTATGCCAAGGTGCATTGAAGCTGTTCTGGCTCATGGTGGCCCAACGCCCTATCTATGATACTATGTTGGCGTTTCCTATATTTTGGCAGTTACTTGTATCAACTAGTGCAGTATTTCCCAACTCCAGTACTCGAGTACACCCAACAGCACACATTTTTGTTGTAGCCCCGGACAAAAAACACCTGATTCAACTCATTGAGGGCCTGATGATTAGTTGACAAGTTGAATCAGGTGCTTCACCTGGGCTACAATAAAAATGTGTGCTGTTGGGGGTATCTGAGGACTGGTGTTGGGAACCACTGGACTAGTGAATGTTTGGATCTCTTGCTGTAATTTGGGGAAATAAGAGAAAAAAGTCACATTTCTTTCACAAGCAGTGCTTCAATTTATTGGTATTAGGACTAGGTTTCAACACAAGCGCCAAGTGGAGTTATACCAACAAAAATACTCCCATTGATTGATCATAACTGCCATCTTTACACAAACAAAAGGCTTACATGGTCTGTGTAACTCATAACCCTTTCTTGAAAATGCCCCATCTGCAAGAGCTAAACCTTACCCCATGGTATGTGGTTCTCTTATATATTTTCCATTGAACGACAAAAGTTTGCATACCATTGAAATAAATACATATGAAAGACCATAAGGGTTTCAAAAACCATGTTCCTCATCTCAACAAAGCGTAAGTCTACAATGTGTATTGTCAAGACCTCAATACAAATAATGATGAATAGCTCAAAACAATTGCTGTTGATTCAATAACAAGCATTGTAGTGGTCAGAATTTGATACTGATCGCCCATATACAGCTGTGGAAAAATTAAGAGACCACTGCACATTTTTCTTAAATCAGCATTTCTACATGTATGACAGACATTCCATTCCAGTGTCTGTTGAATTCCAACACAGGCACACCTCATTCTACTGAATTAGGTTCTGATTAGGTGATCACCTGAACCAAATCTTATTTAATGAGGAAAAGTATAAAAACCACTGCTGTGGTCATCACTATCGTCTTGCAATAGGACCAGCTCGATGGCAAAAACAGTGCTAATAGTACCTCAAAAGTAATATTAATAAAAAAATAACTATTGACCATGCCAAAAAAGTTGAAAATGAATGTTTTGAATGAGGAAAAGAAGGGTTCAATTCTGGCTTTACTGGCAGAGGGATACAGTGAGCATCAGGTTGCTTCCATCCTTACAATTTCAAAGACGGTGGTTCATAAGAACAAAGTCAAGCAGCAGACATTGGGGACAACAAAGCTACAGACTGGCAGAGGGCAAAAACGACTCTACTGACTGGGATGACCGCCAACTCATTCGAATGTCACTCAACAACCGTAGGATGACATCAAGTGACCTACAAAAATAATGGCAAACGGCAGCTGGGGTGAAGTGCACGGCGAGGATGGTTCGAAACAGGCTCCTAGGGGCAGGGCTGAAGTCGTGCAAAGCTAGAAAAAAGCCCTTCATCAATGAGAAGCAAAGAAGAGCCAGGCTGAGGTTTGCAAAAGACCATAAGGATTGGACCGTAGAGGACTGGAGTAAGGTCATCTTCTCTGATGAGTCCAATTTTCAGCTTTGCCCAACACCTGGTCGTCTAATAATTAGCTAGACGGAGACCTGGAGAGGCCTACAAGCCACAGTGTCTCGCACCCACTATGAAATTTGGTGGAAGATCGGTGAAGATCTGGGGGTGCTTCAGCAAGGCTGGAATCGGGCAGATTTGTCTTTGTGAAGAACGCATGAATCAAGCCACGTACAAGGTTGTCCTGGATGAAAACTTGCTTCCTTTTGCTCTGACATTGTTCCCCAACTCTGAGGATTGGTTTTTCCTGCAGGACAATGCGCCATGCCACACAGCCAGGTCAATCAAGGTGTGGATGGAGGACCACCAGATCAAGACCATGTCATGGCCAGCCCAATCTCCAGACCTGAACCCCATTGAAAACTTCTGGAATGTGATCAAGAGGAAGATGGATGGTCACAAGCCATCAAACAAAGCTGAGCTGCTTTAATTTTTGCGCCAGGAGTGGCATAAAGTCACCCAACATCAATGTGAAAGACTGGTGGAGAGTATGCCAAGACGCATAAAAGCAGTGATTGAAAATCAGGGTTATTGCACCAAATATTGATTTCTGAACTCTTCCTAAGTTAAAACATTAGTATTGTGTTGTTTAAAAATGAACATGAACTTATTTTCTTTGCATTATTCAAGGTCTGACAACACTGCATCTTTTTTGTTATTTTGACCAGTTGTCATTTTCTGCAAATAAATGCTCTAAATGACAATATTTTTATTTGGAATTTAGGAGAAATGTTGTCAGTAGTTTATAGGATTAAACCAAAATGTTATTTTTACCCAAACACATACCTCTAAATAGTAAAACCAGAGAAACTGATAATTTTGCAGTGGTCTCTTTCTTTTTTCCAGAGCTGTATACACACAGTACAGGTGGACGACAGCACTTTGCATTCAGCCAATAGCGTGCTTTACTGCGTTTGTAAACATGCGTTTATACTGTCCTCTAGTGGCTCGAGTACGTTTGACAGTAGTGAAGTCGTCCTCAATATACAGGTCTGGGGTCAGTTCTCTTCAGGTAAGAAAAGCTGGTCCTAAACCCAACACTTCGTCTATCCAACCATATACTTCAATGTGATAACCACTTAGGCCTAGGCCCAGGCTGATGTCACTTCCTTCTGATGGAAGTCACTTACTTCCTGGTTCTGCCAGGTTCAAGGGGTTAGCTGTCGTACCAATCCAGGAAGAGCAGAGAGAAGGAGCACATGAGGAAGAAGAGGATCCAGACACGGAATCCAGCATTGTTTTGGATGGCCTGGAAATGCAAGGCAAGCATACAATGAAACCATAGAGTTAAAACAGACCACTGGCTGTGTTGAGCAACCTCGAGTCAGTCACGAATATTTGGTACATTTGTTTTTCTAAAAGTTACATCCTCCAATGAAAACATATGGACACCCTCGTAATAAATATTTCAAAAATGTTTAATATATACATACAATAACATACTGTATAGTATAAAGAGCAGGGGAAACTACTGGGGTTGTTTAGAATAACATGCCATTACCTCTCTGATGTCCTCGTTTCCCTCTGACGTTTTCAGTGGCTCCCACGACTAGCTGATGGATACTGTCTATCTCAGTTTCCTGTGAACAACACACAAACAGGAAATAGAAACACACTAATAACACAACAACAACGCTTTATTAAGTGGGATGGACGTTATTTTTCAACATACATTTTCCTCCAATTGGACCAGGGGGAATAAGGAAGTCACTCACTTGCATTAGCACCTTCTCCGCAAAAATCTCCTGGAGTCGCGAGATCTCGACGACCTTGCCTTCGATTTGCCTGAAAAACATTGGGAGGAGATTGATTAATATTTTTCATCTTTGCTTCACCTCAGTCATATTTAGGAATGTAGTGGTAAGAGTGGTCTGAAGGGCTGATTAAACACTAACCTGACTTCATCTACTAGGTTGCTCATCTCACTCACCAGCCTCTGGTTCTCCTGTTCAAACTAGACAGAGTGAAACCCAATCATATCGTTTATTTGTCGTTTGCAAAGGATACAACAGGTGTAAACAGTACAGCTAAACACTTACTTACAAGCTCTTCCTCAACAATGCAGTGTTCAATATCAAAAGTAAGAAAATAGAAAATCAGAATAGGATTTTAAAGAGCACGGAATCAATACTAGGTCAGATATCTACAAATAAAATCACGAAAAGTAAAACACATGAGAATTTGCTGTCACGATCGTCTACGAGAGAGGAGGACCAAAGCGCAGCGTTGGTAGCGAACATATTGATTTTAATGTAAATCACGAGAATACAAAACAAAACACGATCATGAAGTCCTCAGTGACAACGACTGAACATAGAACAAAAACCCACAAACACAAGGTGAAAACACACAGTTTAAATATGGCTCCCAATCAGAGATAACGAGCCGACAGCTGACACTCGTTACCACTGATTGGGAGTCACACGACCAAACAAGGAAACAACCACATAGACAACCCAACTAATCCCCAAACACAAAAAATGAACACACCCTGGCTCAATAATACAAAGTCCCGGAGCCAGAGCGTGACAGTACCCCCCCCTAAAGGCGCGGACTGCGACCGCGCCTCAAAGAACCCAAATAGGGGAGGGCTGGGTGGGTGTTGCTCCTCGGAGGCGGCTCCGGCTCTGGCTCCGGGCTTGACCACCATCCTACATCCATCCCCCCGTAATGGCCCCGGTCCGATCCAACCCAGCTGGCTGGATCCGGACTGATGACGCGCACCCCTAACTTGGCGCGTGAGGCAGGGACGGACCGGACCTGGCTGACGATACGCATCCTCGGCTTGGTGCGTGGAGCCGGAACGGACCTCCTCAGGCTGACGACTCGCCTCCCTGGCTTGGTGCGCGTAGCAGGCACAGGCTGAACCATGTTGACGACTCGCCCCCTTGGTTTGGTGCGAGTAGCCGGAACGAGCTGACCCAGGTTGACGACTCGCACCCTTAGCCTGGTGCGAGTGGCAGGAACAGTCCGGGTTGGGCCGGCGACGCACACCGTAGTTTTGATGCGCGGAGCAGGAACCGGCCGGGCTGGGCTGGCGACGCACCCCTTTGGCTTGGTGCGTAGAGCAGGGACAGGCCGGGCTGGGCTGGCGACGCACCCCTTTGGCTTGGTGCGTAGAGCAGGAACGGGCAGAGCCGGGCTGACGAGACGCACCACAGGCTTGATGCGGAGAGCAGGCACGGGCCGTGCCGGACTGACGACGCACACCACTGGCTTGGTGCGGGAAGCTTGGATGGACCGGACTGTACTAGGGACACACACCACTGGCCCTACACCGGGATCTGGAACGGGCCGGACCGGACTGGCAACACACGCCAGTACCTCTCGCCGTGCCTCTACTTCCTCCATCCCCTCTTCGACCAGTGGCCCCCGTAACCCGGCGGCCTTCTCCAGCAACCCACTGGGCCGCTCTATCGCGGCCGCCTGCTGGTCCGACGTCGTGAGCCCCCCCCCTAAAAATTTTCGGGGCGTCTCTCCTACCCGTGGACCAGGTCTCCATATCCCTCGCCAGCCTCTCGCCCTTCTGCCATAATGTCAAGCCCTTCTGCTCCTCACTCGGCTTGACCCAGTCCAGGAGGCGAAGGAGATCTGTGAGGGATCTCCCTGGCGATGGCTCCTGGACACGCTGCTTGGTCCCATCTTGGTGGGTTTTTCTGTCACGATCGTCTACGAGAGAGGAGGACCAAAGCGCAGCGTTGGTAGCGAACATATTGATTTTAATGTAAATCACGAGAATACAAAACAAAACACGATCATGAAGTCCTCAGTGACAACGACTGAACATAGAACAAAAACCCACAAACACAAGGTGAAAACACACAGTTTAAATATGGCTCCCAATCAGAGATAACGAGCCGACAGCTGACACTCGTTACCACTGATTGGGAGTCACACGACCAAACAAGGAAACAACCACATAGACAACCCAACTAATCCCCAAACACAAAAAATGAACACACCCTGGCTCAATAATACAAAGTCCCGGAGCCAGAGCGTGACATTTGCACTATATACAGTGGGGAAAAAAAGTATTTAGTCAGCCACCAATTGTGCAAGTTCTCCCACTTAAAAAGATGAGAGAGGCCTGTAATTTTCATCATAGGTACACGTCAACTATGACAGACAAAATGAGGAAAAAAAATCCAGAAAATCACATTGTAGGATTTTTTATGAATTTATTTGCAAATTATGGTGGAAAATAAGTATTTGGTCAATAACAAAAGTTTCTCAATACTTTGTTATATACCCTTTGTTGGCAATGACACAGGTCAAAAGTCTTCACAAGGTTTTCACACACTGTTGCTGGTATTTTGGGCCATTCCTCCATGCAGATCTCCTCTAGAGCAGTGATGTTTTGGGGCTGTCGCTGGGCAACACGGACTTTCAACTCCCTCCAAAGATTTTCTATGGGGTTGAGATCTGGAGACTGGCTAGGCCACTCCAGGACCTTGAAATGCTTCTTACGAAGCCACTCCTTCGTTGCCCGGGCGGTGTGTTTGGGATCATTGTCATGCTGAAAGACCCAGCCACGTTTCATCTTCAATGCCCTTGCTGATGGAAGGAGGTTTTCACTCAAAATCTCACGATACATGGCCCCATTCATTCTTTCCTTTACACGGATCAGTCGTCCTGGTCCCTTTGCAGAAAAACAGCCCCAAAGCATGATGTTTCCACCCCCAGGCTTCACAGTAGGTATGGTGTTCTTTGGATGCAACTCAGCATTCTTTGTCCTCCAAACACGACGAGTTGAGTTTTTACCAAAAAGTTCTATTTTGGTTTCATCTGACCATATGACATTCTCCCAATCCTCTTCTGGATCAGCCAAATGCACTCTAGCAAACTTCAGACGGGCCTGGACATGTACTGGCTTAAGCAGGGGGACACGTCTGGCACTGCAGGATTTGAGTCCCTGGCGGCGTAGTGTATTACTGATGGTAGGCTTTGTTACTTTGGTCCCAGCTCTCTGCAGGTCATTCACTAGGTCCCCCCGTGTGGTTCTGGGATTGTTGCTCACCGTTCTTGTGATCATTTTGACCCCACGGGGTGAGATGTTGCGTGGAGCCCCAGATCGAGGGAGATTATCAGTGGTCTTGTATGTCTTCCATTTCCTAATAATTGCGCCCACAGTTGATTTCTTCAAACCAAGCTGCTTACCTATTACAGATTCAGTCTTCCCAGCCTGGTGCAGGTCTACAATTTTGTTTCTGGTGTCCTTTCATTTTCATTTTCAGTCATTTAGCAGACGCTCTTATCCAGAGCGACTTACAGGAGCAATTAGGGTTAAGTGCCTTGCTCAAGGGCACATCGACAGATTTTTCACCTAGTCGGCTCTGGGATTAGAACCAGCGACCTTTCGGTTACTGGCACAACGCTCTTACCCACTAAGCTACCTGCCGCTCCTTTGACAGCTCTTTGGTCTTGGCCATAGTGGAGTTTGGAGTGTGACTGTTTGAGGTTGTGGACAGGTGTCATTTATACTGATAACAAGTTCAAACAGGTGCCATTAATACGGGTAATGAGTGGAGGACAGAGGAGCCTCTTAAAGAAGAAGTTACAGGTCTGTGAGAGCCAGAAATCTTGCTTGTTTGTAGGTGACCAAATACTTATTTTCCACCATAATTTGCAAATAAATTCAGTAAAAATCCTACAATGTGATTTTCTGGATTTTTTTTTTCTCAATTTGTCTGTCATAGTTGACGTGTACCTATGATGAAAATTACAGGCCTCTCATCTTTTTAAGTGGGAGAACTTGCACAATTGGTGGCTGACTAAATCCTTTTTTTCCCCACTGTACATATTAGTCAAGTCTATGGGAAGATAATGTCATAGAATGTACTTCTTCCCATGTAAACTAATAATTTCTTATTCATTACATTTGTATTTATTATTCTCTATGGGACACAGGTTTAAAGAAATAAGATTTTGTTGGCTAATGGATCCAAATTGCTGGCTCTAAACCACACATCCCCCGGGGCCTTGATCAGAGGAAGCCCAGGATTATTCCCAGGGCATGTTTTGCTCTTCACTTGGTTGCAGCTCAATTATTCCACCCAATTAGACGGAGCCTCCAAAAGACCACCCTACTCACTACTGACCTTGTGCTAGCGCCCGCCTTCTTCAACTACCCACCTCAATTAGACCAGTCAGACATTAAAGTCTGCAACACAGCCTGCAATCAATCTGCTGACTGATTGACACACACAGCAAATCACTATGAGCCGAGTTCTGACAGACTCCAATGTTCCGACAGTAGTTCTGGCCACCCTTTTAGCCTATAGGATTACTGCTAAGGCCCATTGGCCCATACTGAATGTAGGCGTAGGCCCATACTAAATGTAATTCCACTGCTCCATCCATCACTACATACAGCGAACTGACAAAATAAAGGAAATACTTGAGTAAATGAGGGATACAAAGTATATTGAAAGCATGTGCTTCCACATACAGTAGGTGTGGTTCCTGAGTTAATTAAGCAATTAACATCCATCATACTTAAGGTCATGTATAAAAATGCCCAGTTTCCCATTATTTTAGCTACCATTGCTAGAATATTTATTTATGTCAAAAGGAGTATAGGGGGTTTAAAGGGTGTATGTGTCTCAGTCACCAGATCTCAACCCAATTGAACACTTATGGGTGATTCTGGAGTGGCTCCTGAGACAGTGTTTTCCACCACCATCAACAAAACACCAAATGATGGAAGTTCTTGTAGAAGAATGGTGTAGAAGAATGCTGTCACATCCCTCCAATAGAGTTCCAACTTATAGAATCTATGCCAAGGCGCATTGAAGCTGTTCTGGCGGCTCAACGCCCTATTAAGACACTATCTTGGTGTTTCCTTTATATTGGCAGTTACCTGTACATCCAGTCTGAGACTGCCATCGTAAAAGTTGTTTCTGCTGACGTCAAAGTGAGGGG